GTGCTCGGGGCGACCGTCCCGCCGCCGGGCCAGACGCCCTCCACGCCCCTTAGCCTCGGAAGCTACGCGTCCCCGGCGACTTCTGACATTGCGTAGCAACGGGTAAGTGACAGCCGCCGCCGCTCACGGTATTTCTTTCTTAATGCAGTTCTTCCCAAGTCTCACCCGCGCGTGATTAGTTAAAAAACAGTTCAACTCCGGGACTGGTCCGGCGAGGGAGCTGCGGAAGCGGAGCGGGGAAAGCCAGACACCTGACTCCCCGGGCTCGGCCTGGGGGTGGAGCAGAGTCCCTGTGCACTAGGAAGTTTGGAAAGCGGCTCCAAGTTTGCCCGGCGCTAGAGGAGCGGGCAGACCTAGGAGAGAGGAGAGGGGAGGTGGCGGCGGGGCGGGTCTTGGGACCCGGTACTCCCCGCCCGGCAGAGAAGGCGTGGTTCCCGCCAGGTGGGGAGCGGAGAGGGGAGGGGACCGGACTGGCGCGCAGCGGGGAGGGGAGGGGAGCAAAGGGGAGGGGACGGGCAGGCAGGGGCGGGGCTGGCGCGGTCCCGGGGCCAGCTGCTGGCTGTCGGAGTAGTTATGCACCCTCCCATCCTGTGCAGGTTTCAGGCACTTCACTTTAATCAAGGGGACAGAGTAGAGCAAAGTGGTTTTATTTTGACCCATGCTATTCAAGAAGAAAAAGAAAAGGGAGCTTGAAAATTGTGAAACGACCCTTCTCAAAACAGTGGCTGCGTTTGTAGGGTTAGCAAATTGCTTAGAAACACTTGCTTGATCATTTTCGCAAATGTTGAAAGGGAATGGAATTTTCAAAAAGAATGGCTCATATAACCATATAAGTTGGTGGTCTAACTAGGCGAAATTTAAATCGATGCTAATTAGAACATTGAATTCTCTGTTTCCTGTTGTATGTGGAGCCTCTTTACAGATATGCTACATTTGGGGCTCTAAATCCAATATGCACATATAGAATCTTTTTTTAGGGTGCCTGCACTCTCCAGAGAGAGACAGAAAGGGAGAAATCAGCCCCTCCCCCTAGGGAGATGGCCACATCCCAATCCCTTCTCCTTTCTCCTCTTGGGAGTTTGAGCACACAGGTTGGGATTTTGAGCACACAGATGCACATGCAGGTATTTATTTATTTATTTGGAGAGGTTTTGCTATAGGGCATGTGCGCTTGCCAGAAAGAGAGAGACAGGAAACGTGAAATAACCCCCCAGGGGGGGATGGCCCTACCACAATCCCTTCTCCTCCATTTTCCTCTCCAGATCTCGGGCACACATGCACAGAAGCCCCGTGTGAGTTTATGCTACCAGATCCGGGACTCGAACAGTGGTCCACTACATGGGAGTCCTGCGACATAGCCATTATGCCATCTGCTGGTCCCCACCCGCGGGTATGTTTTAAGCCGCTGGTCCACTCGAACCCCATGCCCTAGTGGGAGTCTAGCAACTACCATTATGGCATCTGCTGCTCCCACATTTATAGAATCTTACAGATTCTCTTCTTGAGAGGCTAGTTTTGTTTTTGGTACAAACCACATTTTAGCATAAACTACTGTATGATTAGTTCCTTCCAAATGCTTTCCCCGCCTTACACTTGGCAGAATTTATATTATCTAACAAAAACCAAATTACTTATCAATGTGGTTGCCTTAATTTACTTTCATTGTCTTGGATATACATTTGCTCATCTCTTCATCTCACACTGGCCTCCTGTAGTTACCAAAATTGGTGGCCAAATTGGAATACCCATTATACTTTTCATACCTTCTAGAGTAGGTGAAGTATTGCCAATAAACATCATATATTACAGAAATTTAGGATGCTGAGGTATGAAGTTTATACCATTCTTCTTTAATCTTATCTGTAGAGCCTAGTTAAATAAATGTTGCCTAAGTATATCAAAGTACACCTCTTCTCCAGTGCTATTTCTAAACCAACTAAGAGTTTCTTGTAGAGTATTTATAATTGCCCAGTGCCAATTCTGGGATTCATTTAAACTTAATCCCTCTCTCCTGTGTATTCCTATTCATACTGCATTTAAAACTTATTTATTTATTTATTTACTTGTGGCATGTGCTTGCTGGATACAGGCAGGAGAGGAGAAATCACCCCTCTTGGGGAATGGTAACATTGCAACCCCTTCTCTTCCATCTCTCCCTCCTCTTTGGATTTTGGGGACACAGGCACATGTGCCTGGTGTTTTCCAAGCCCCCAGGTCCGAGACTCAAACTGTGAGGTGGACCAAGCAGGATCTGGTTGCCCTAACCACCAGACCACAGAACTGGTCCCATATAGCATTATTATTTCTAATAGAGCACTGTCATTTATACTACCGCTTGCTTCTCTGAGGATATTTAGTACCTTTTTCTTTCTTTTCAAATGGCAGCATAGTGCTTTGTACATTGGTAGATATTAGGAATGGACGATGAATTTGGTTTGTACACACATATGTATATGTAAGATCATATACATGAAAATAGAATGGGATAGGCCCTTTTTATTTATAGATAAAAATTTGTTTAAGAAAAGATTGCCAGAGGAATGAGAAAGGTGAATGGTATATACATTGTGATTCTTTTCAATCCTAATTACTTATCATTCAAAGACCTAATTTTCCTTTCTTTTCCTCAGTTTATCTAGTTTCTTTACAGCCGTATTTGCTTCCTCATTTGGGAAAAGAAAATAGACAAATTCACCTCCAAATATAAATGTCTAAGGTCAGTCTGTTTATCATTCACTTTAAAATTGGCTATCAATCAGATCAATAATATATGTTTCATTTGTGTGGTAGAAAACACATCAGTGTGTATGTGTAACTAAAGGGAAAGACCCTCTCCTGTTCCCACCATTGCCTCTTTTTTTTTTTTTTGGAGAGATTTTCACTGTAGGGCGCGTGCGCTCGCCAGACAGACAGAGAGAGACATAGAGACAGAAAGCGAGAAATCACCCCCAGGGGGGATGGTCACGCCGCAATCCCTTCTCCTCCATTCTCCTCTCGGGATCTTGGGCACGCAAGCACACGCACCCGGCGTGAATTTAAGCCACCGGGTCCGGGACGTGAACCGCGGTCGACTACGTGGGAGTCCAGAGACATAGCCATTACGCTAACTGCTGGTTCCCAAGAATATGTTTTTGATGTTACTAGAACCAGGATGCTTACAGAGAACTCCACTGAGAGTAGCTTGAGCTGAAAGAGTAGTGTTTCAGATTGTATACGTAAGAGCAAATGCTTGGGTATAGAATGAGGCCAAGAAAATATATTTTACATGTATTATGTAAATTACTATATTCATGTATTATAGGGTTAAGGAGAAGGAAGTTTTGGGGAATGTTTAGACCATTTTGAATTTCAGATATTAGTACTAACATAATTCTTTGCTTGAACTTAATGCCACTCGTTTTAAAATACACGTACTAAATGACTGTAGGAAATAATTCAGATCTAATTAAGATTTAAATCAGTACTATTTCATGATTATAGAGTGAACCAAACAAAGCCAGGATGATTCGTAAGCAGTCATTTTTGTTAAATTGTGTGTGAATCTTGAACGTCAAAGGCTTGACTCGACCCTTTCTTTTTCTTTAGTAACCTAGATTGAAGATGAATAGTGATCAAGTTACCCTGGTTGGTCAAGTGTTTGAGTCATATGTTTCAGAATACCATAAAAACGATATTCTTCTAATCTTGAAGGAAACTGACGAAGATGCCCATTACCCAGTTGTGGTTAATGCCATGACTCTTTTTGAGACCAACATGGAAATTGGGGACTATTTCAATGTGTTCCCCAATGAAGTGCTAACTGTATTTGATAATGCCCTCCGAAGGTCAGCCTTGACAATTCTGCAGTCTGTTTCTCAGCCTGAGGGTTTTTCTATGAAACAGAATCTCCATGCCAGGATATCAGGTAAGTCTCTTAAGGAATTATCTTCTAGAAAGATAATTATCTTCCATTATCTTCTAAGAAAGTTTTGAGACATTATAACACATACTGGACCCAGAGCATTAAGAAATAATTAATATTTATACTTAAAATGTACCTTTATTGTGTAATTGATGATCACTTCTTTTTGTTTTTTAGAGGTTTTTGCTATAGAGCACATATGCTCACCAGAAAGACAGAGACTTAGAAAGCAAGAAATCACACACACACCCCCCCCCGGGAGGGGATGGCCACACCGCAGTCTTTTCTCCTCCATTCTCCTCTCAGGATCTTGGACACTCACGTACACGCGTCTGGCGTGAGTTTAAGCTAGCAGGTCCAGTTGACTGCAGTCAACTACATGGGAGTCCAGTGACATAATCATTACACCAACTGTTGGTCCCTCAATGATCACTTTTTAGAGCAGAATAATAATTGTCTTCTCTGGGCATGGAGTATTAGCCGTGCCAACTGAGTGGGGGAAGAATGTCTAGAGATAGCAGTCTACTTGTGTGCCTACATATTTTTTAATGTGTGCATAATTCACACCAGCTTCATGAGCTTCTGTGACTATTAACAGTAAAAGTGCTGGTAATACAGGGTCCAGCAGGTGGCGTGGTGGTTAAGGCTCTAGACTTCCATATGGCCAACTGTGGTTCAAGTCCTGGACCTCTTGGCTTGTTTTCTCACTTTCTCTCTCTCTCTCTCTCTTTGGTGACTGCAAGTGCCCTATAGCAAATTAAAAAATAAAAATAAATAAAATGAAACAATTCTTTTTTAAAAAATGCTGTAGTACAAAGAATTAGAGAAGTGATAGTTCCTGAACTGCCAGGTCTGGGACTCGACCCGTGGTTGACCATGTGGTAGTCCAGTGCCTCAACCACTAAACCACCTACTGAGCCTGAGAGAAAATGTTTTGACCATAGAAATTTAAGGTATAATGTATTATGGGGTTCTTTCTTTTCTTTTCTTTTTAAATTTTTGTTATTTTTTTAATTTTAATTTTTGGAGTTTTATTTTTTTCTTCTGTAAGAGAGAGAGACAGAACCCCTGGCAGGGTCCAAATACCATGATCCACCCCTAACCTCAGTCAGCCCTGGATCATAGGCATATCAGCTTGGTTGGGCAAGTCTCTAGATATGACCCTGGAACTTTCCCATGTGGGTCAACCTCACAGTATTGGCATTTTACCACTGCACCATCAACAAGCCCTGTTATGTTTATTTCTAATGCTAGAAGAGTCTTCAGTGTGCATACTTACTTAGTTTTCAGTCTACCTGATTCTGAAGATAGTGGACCATGGGACATGAACCAACATAATAAATATTGGCCCAGTAAACCTGTTAGGCAGAAGCCTTTGACCATCACGTATTGTACCTTATAACCAAAAGTGAGAAAGAAGACATTTTCAGATAAGAACTCTCTTTGACATTTTACATCTTTTCAGTTGCCTGAGTCTTTTTGTTTGTTTGTTTTTAATTCATGATAGAGTACATGCATTCATGAGAGGGAGGAAGAGGGAGAGAAGTACTCTCTAGAGGACTTGAAGCATCATGATCCTCTTCCTCCAGTCGTTCAGCCCACCAAGACACTGAGCACACGTTCACGCCCAGTGTGTTTTTGGGCCAGTAGGGCCAGGGACTCAAACCATGGTGAGCATGTGGCTTCCAGTTTCATAGTCCAATACACTACCTCCTGCAACACAGTGGCTGGGCCTAGTTGCCTATTATTTGATGTTGAAAAACACAAGGTTTTTCAGGCTGACTCCATGGTGCAGCAGTTCAGATCCCCAACATGGTCAGCTTGAAACGTGCTGGGCATATGCACAAGTGCCCAAGGGCCAATGAGCTAGAAGACTGGAAGAAGGGGATCATACCGTGACCAGGCCCTGTGGAGAGCTTTGCATGTGCTTGCTCTCTCTCTCTCATATTCTATCATGAAATTTTTTTTAAAAAAAGGAAAGCAAAACACAAATTTTCAAGAGAAAATGATGCTATGGACAAACTCCTAGGTAGATCAAAGCTTGAAACCAAGATCAGATTTATGTATTAATATTGGGTTGTCAGAAAAGTCATGATGTATTTTTCTGGTTTTCTATGCAAAAATGTGTCATGACTTTAAATAAATCCTGAAATTAACTAAAAATTGCAGTAACCCTCCTGGCACTGTGGAATTCTTTGGTCATCGTGCTGCTGTCTCTTTATCACTCTTCTTTGTGGTTTACTCAGTCATTAACTTATTTTTATGTGTGGTAAGTGTCAGTATATTCTTTGTTAAATGTGGTTATAATTACATACTGAATTTACATCCTACTGAGATAGCCCTCTTATGAGAGGCAGTCCTTTTAAAATTGTATTTATTATAGCATCTAGAAATGTGCTTTTAAAGAAAGTCTATTTTTTTTTTTCTCTTTTGGAGAGGTTTTTGGTATAGGGCACATGTGCTCGCCAGACAGAGAAAGGCAGAGAGACAGAAAGTGAGAAATCACTCCCCGGGGGATGGCCACGCTGCAATCCCTTCTCCTCCATGCTTCTCTCAGGAGCTTGGGCACGCACACACACACGCCCGGCGTGAGTTTTAAGCCACCGGGTGTGGGACATGAACTGCGGTCAACTATATGGGAGTCCAGTGACATAGCCATTACGCTAACTGCTGGTCCCAAGAAAGTCTATTAATGATTGTTATTTGAAATAATTCTTTCCTATTTTCTTAACTGTTAATATGATTTTTTTCCTTAGCTGTTTTTCCTCTAAAATTGTCATTTATTCTCCAAAATACATGAAAAAATATATTCTATAAAGTCAAATCCCAAGGTATAAGTTGATGATGGCTTTTTTTTTTTTTTTTTTACTCTATCAGGTTTGCCTGTCTGTCCTGAGCTGGTAAGGGAGCATATCCCTAAAACCAAGGATGTGGGACACTTTTTATCTGTCACTGGGACAGTGATCCGAACAAGTCTGGTGAAGATCCTGGAGTTTGAGCGGGATTACATGTGTAATAAATGCAAACACGTATTTGTGGTCAAGGCTGACTTTGAGCAGTATTACACTTTCCGCCGGCCGTCCTCATGTCCCAGCCTGGAGAGCTGTGATTCCTCAAAATTCACTTGCCTCTCAGACTTGTCTTCATCTCCAACCAAGTGTAGAGACTACCAGGAAATCAAGATTCAGGAACAGGTAAATGATCAAATAGATGAGAAAAATAATAAATTTGAAGAATTGGTTCTCATCTATGGACAGTTGTTAGAATTAGGGAACACAGAATGGATACAAATATACTGACATCACCACTTTGTAGAAGATGAAACTTGAAACTGCTGTACATCTGTTAGAATAGTCTTTAGGAAACACATGCAGTAATGCAGTACTCATCTTTTTAGATAGGGCATTGACAAGGTGTGGAATGCTTTAATAATTATGTTAAAGCTAAAGAGAATAAAAAGTTCAGACTATCTGTTCTTAACTAATGGATGAGAAAACTAATGTTTTTAATAAAGATAGAAGATTAATATTTAACTAGTTAATAAATATTGAGGTGAGAAGGATTTAGGGGCGTTGGGCCAATTTTATTTGCTTTCACAAATGAGATACACAGTAGCATTATCAAATGAGGGTGAGACTGATTTACTTGCAGATTAAACACAAAGATTTATTTTCTTATCTAAAATAAGCAGGAGATAGACAGTTCAGGGCTAGCAGAGTTGAGTACTCAGACCTCCTGTCATTCTGCTCCACCGTTCTAAAGGCATGGCCTCTGTTCTTGAGGTTGTCTATGGTCCTGAAGTTGGCCACAAAACCATCACACTTGTATTAGAGTCAGAGAATAGGAAAAAGGAGGGACGTGTAAAAGTACTATCACCTAACCAAATCTCTCATTTAAACAGTCTCCCTTGAAGTCTGCAAGATGACTACTTATATCTCATATAGCAATAGTCATATGGCCATCCCTATGTGCAAAGGAGCGTGGGAAATAAAGTCTGTTTACTAGGCACATGTCCATGTGGAAAAAAGACAGGGTTCTGTTACAAAGGAATAATTGAAGAGATTGGGTGATTTACTTTAGGTCTTAGCGACTAGAGATTAGGAAAGAAATGCCTCTCTTTTCTAGAAAAGTAACTTTGTTATTGGATTGTTAGGAAAGTCATGATGCATTTTTGCATTAAACGCATAATGACTTCTGATGACTTAATATGTTTAGTGTTAGAGCATGTGAGCAGATGTCAAAAAGCTCATGGAAAACTGTAATTAATTAAGCAACAAAAAATATAAACTTTATTTCTCAACATAAGCTCCATCAAGTTCAAGATGCTTTGTAAGTGATAATACCAGCTGTTTTAGTCTATCCTTAAGGAACTAAGAGGCCTGAGAATTTTTAACAAAGCCAGTGTAATCTTTTTTACTTTATTAATTAAAGAAAATTAGGTGCCTTTTAAATATTTTTTAAGATTAGGAAACAAAAAGAAGTCAGAAGGAGCCAAGTCAGGACTATAAGGAGGATGACTAATGATTTCCCATCTAAACTCACGAAATTGTCCTGGTTTGATGAGTGGATGGAGCAGGAGTGTTGTGGTGAAATAACACTGGTGAAGCTTTCCAAGGTATTTTTCTCCTAAAGCTTCTGCTGATGTTCCTGGAACACTCTCATAATAAGCAGATGCAATCATTGTTGGGCCCTACAGAAAGTCAACAAGAAAAATGCCTTCAGCATCCCCAAGAACTGTGCTTTTGCTTTGACTGGAGTACTTTGACCTCCTAGTAGTCATTGCTTTGATTGTGTTTCATCTTCAGGATTTTACTTGTAAAGCCATGTGTCATCTTCTATTACTTCAAAGAAATGCATCAGGATGTTGTTTCCCCTTGTTTAAAATTTGTATCCAGGAAGGTCTGCTTTTGTCTGCAGCTGACCTGGTATTTAACAGTTTTGGCACCATTGAGCAGTAAGTTTCTCAACTTAAATTCAGCCAGAATTGGGACCAGCAGATGGTTAAGTTGCTGAATTCTCACAGAGTTGACTGTGGTTCAAGTCCCAGACCCAGTGGCTTAAAACTGACGCTGTGCACATGTGCATGCATGTCAAAATCTCAAGAGGAGAATGGAGGAAAAGGGATTACAGTGTGGCCATTCCCCTGTGGGGGGTGATTTCTCACTTTTTGTCTCTGTCTTTCTCTGTCTCCTCAGTGAGCGCACGTAACCTATAGCAAAAACAAAACAAAAACAAAAAAAAACTACTAAAAAAAAATTCAGCCGGAATTGTGTAAGTTGAACCAGTTGATATGTCTGTATGCCAACTATTTTACCTGCTATTAATTATCAGTACTCTTCAGTAAGGGCACAGATAAGATTCATTTTTTTCCTATTTAAATTGACATGGATGATCTGCTATGGATGTCAACTAAAACATTATCTTCTTCCCCCACACCCTACACTTTTTAAGAAATTTGCCAGAGGGCATGTGCACTCACCAGAGAGACAGAAAGTGAGAAAGTACTGGGGAATGGTCATGCCACAATCCCTTCTCCTCTGTCTCTCCCTCCTGTCATGATTTTGGGCATTCATGCACATGTACCTAGCGTGTTAAGTCGCTAGGACTTGAACCATGCATTTTGCTATGTGGGGTCCAGCCTCTCTAAACACCCCTCATTCCATCTTTTTTTTTGGAAAGCAAAAAGTCATCCCCCAGGGGGGATGGCCACGCCGCAATCCCTTCTCTTCCATTCTCCTCTCAGGTTCTTGGGCACACACGCACCCCTGCCCGGCGTGAGTTTTAAGCCACCGGGTCCAGGACACGAACCGCAGTCAACTACGTGGGAGTCCAGTGACATAGCCATTATGCTAACTGCTGGTCCCAACACCCTTCATTCCATCTTAAAACGAATTGTCTATTTGTGAACTACAATTTCTTGGGGCATTGTTCCCATAAACTTTTTATAAAGCATCAATAATTTCACCATTCTTTCACCCAAGTATCATTATAAATTTGATGTTTGTTCTTATTTCAATTTTAGCAGAATTTGTGTTGCTCTGGTAGTGGTCCTTTTCAAACTGATGTCCTATCTTTCCTAGTACCTCAAACTAGATGTTCGGACATGTTATAGTAAGTTAGTATGAGTTTATTTTGATGCAAAATTTTTGAAATTCATGCATGGTTTTTCCATAAGACAGATACCTCATGAACTTTTTGAAGACCTCTAATATATTTATTTTGACCATCCCCAAGATAAATTATATTTGGAGAGTCTTTTCACATTAGCGCTTTTATTTTATTCTAATTTTAGTGAACTCTTAAACTGATTGAGTTTTCAAGAAGAATTCCTTAACTGTCAAACATAAGTATATGAAACTAAGTAGAAACAGCAATTTCAAGTACTGCTAGGCTTCTGGATACTTAAACATGTATTTAAGCATACTCAGGGTCTGTTTTCTTTTCCTTGCTAGGTTCAAAGGCTATCTGTTGGAAGTATTCCACGATCTATGAAGGTTATCCTGGAAGATGATTTAGTAGATAGTTGTAAATCTGGTAAGAATGATCTTTTGTTAACTTATGTAGTAGGTCTTAAAGTACTGACTAGGACAAGCCACTTGTTATATTCCCAAGATCACTGCGAAGGGAATGTAGAGACTTCATTGTTCATCTTGAGAATAGAGACCTGCATGGGGTGGGAGATGATAACAGGAATGAGAACTGGACTGCAACATGAATCCAGGTACCCTAATTTCTTTTTCTTTTTGGAGAAGTTTTTGCTACAGGGCGCGTGTGTGCACCAGAAAGACAGACAGAGAGACAGAAAGCGAGAAATCACCACCACCACCACCCCCGGGGGGGCGGGGATGGCTACGCAGCAATCCCATCTCCTCCATTCTTCTCTAGGGATCTTGGGCATGCATGCACACGTGCCTGGTGTGAATATAAGCCACCAGGTCTGGGATTCGAACCATGGTTGACTACATGGGAGTCCAGTGACATAGCCCGTACACCAACTGCTATTCCTAGGTATCCTAATTTCTAATCCAGGACTCATTGGTGCACAATAGTTTATAACAGTAGCAACTTTAAAAATAAACTGTGGATTTAGTGGGAAGTCATATAATCTGAATCAGAAAATATAACTCAAAAACTACTATAAGTCTTATTAGTGTTTAGAGAAAAGGAGGCGATCGTTCATCTCCACTCTGCTGGTGACACTACAATGGAAGTTCGTTGTCCTCTGAGGATCCTCAGTGTTTTCACTGGCTGGTCACCTAAATTGGGAGGGAACTTGAAGTATATTCAATGAAGAACCATAGATATTTATTATGTGAAAGCTCCAGGAAGGACATGAAAGTGAACTGTCAATAGTTGGAAGACTGTCATCTGGAAATGGAAGTATAATTATAGCAGGTATTAATGGGTTTCAGGGGCTAAAGCTACAGGGATTAGATTTGGACTCAGTATCTAATAATCAGAGGGCCTTGGATGATAAGTTCCGTGTCTAAGAAATAGTCAAGCAGAGGATAGATATAGGGATTTAGGTCTTAGGATGGCAGTTGATATGGGTCATCTACAGTGTTCCATGCAAATTAAAGACTTTATGAGCCTCAGCACTATTCTGGAAGTTTGAGGACTTATTATACACTTTGATCTTTAGGCTAACCAGACTAATCCTGAGCTTACTTTAAGAGATGACCTTCTTGAATCATATCATTCTCTTTTCCTTTCCTCACTGGGGAGATTGGAAAGGAATCAAAGCATTTGTGGAAGGATGATTTCTCAAGTTAGTTGGAGGAGTTGTAACAAATTACCATAGACAGGATGGGTTAAAGAACAAATGTTTGTTTCTCAATTTTGGGGGCTGAAAGTTAGAGATCGGGGTGCCAGCACTTAAGATTCTGATAAGGACCCTCTTCCAGGTGGTAGATAGCCATCTTTCATATTAACACTTTATAGCTGTCTGAGTAGTGTGCTCAGGTGATAACAGCTTTCATCCTGCCTGGTAAATGACCAGAGTATGTTCTAGTGCTTTGTTCATATAGGAATCTAGATTTTTTTTCTCCTAAATTGCCAGATGGTACATGTGCTTGCCAGAGGAAGAGAGAAAAGGCAACCCCCAATGGGGCATGCTCATGCCATAATTCTTTTTCCCCCACTTTTCCATCCTTTGAGGATTTGGGACATGCATGCTCCTCGCATGTTTTTCAAGCCACTGGGGCTAAGACTTGAACCATGCTCAGCCATGTGGAATCCGGTTCCATTGACCACTGTGTTACGGGGCTGGTTTATGACTCTAGATTTTAATATAAATCTGTAATATCTGGACCAGCAAAGCAGTACTTGTATGAGTTCAGCATGAACATGAAAATACCATTTTGTAGAGAATAAGATGTTTTTATGCAGTTTACTTAATCTGAATTCATCCTGTACTGAAAATAAATCTATAGTTTTTTTTTTTAAATGGTATTAGTAATAAAAGATGGATGGAAGCAATCTATCAACTGTTACTTTTTTCACTTATCCATGGCTTCAAACCTCTGTGTGAATTAAAAGAAAAATGATACCTTTGCCTTTGAGCAATTTATAGCCCCCAATTCAGCACAGGCAGAGTATCTGAGTGGGAGGCTGTATGCTAATAACTCAGTGCAGCAGCAGATTAGAGCTGGGAGTGACTGGATGGATGCAATAGTATATGTGCTGCAGAGGCACAAAGAAGTGGGACTGTGGGACCAGCAGTTGGCATAATGGCTTTGTCGCTGGACTCTTCATGTAGTCGACCGTGGTTCGAGTCCTGGACCACCAGTTTAAACCCAGTGTCAGGCGCAAGTGTGTGCATATCCAAGATCCCGAGAGGAGAATGGAGGAGAAAGGATTGTAGTGTGGCCATCCCTCCCCGGGGAGTCATTTCTCACTTTCTGTCTCTCTCTTTCTGGCGACCACATGCGCCCTATAGCAAAAAAGTCTCAAAAAAGAAAAAAAAAAGTGAGACTGTATAAAAGTAAGAATTTTAGCTTCCTGAAAATAACATTACTTATAACATGGTGGATGGTCTTCAGGAAGTACATGAAATTATTATGAAAAAACTGTAGATTTCAAAATGTTTTTTTGTCAAAATAAACTTGTACCTTGATTCTATTTTTCCATAAACTATTTTTTTTTTTTAATTTGCTATAGGGCATGTGTGCATGCCAGAGGGAGACAGAGACAGAGTTACAGAAAGAAAGAAATCACCCCCCGAGAGGATAGCCATGCCACTACGGCTCCCATCCCCAATTGTCTCAAGACTTTGGGTATTTTTATCTGAGAATGTTCTTGCCTTTTGCACATATCTGGTGTAATTCTTAAGCCCCTGGTCTGGAATACAGACCATGAAGTCAGCTATGTTAGATCCAACTGTCCTAACCTCCATGCCACCTGCTGACCCTTTCATGAACTTTTTGAAGTCCCCTTTTATTTACTATAGAAAAATCTAAAACTTTAAAAAATGAATATCTCTTACTTTGTATTATCATATATATGTATACAAAGATTTTTTATTTAACTTTATTGTTTGCTTATTTATTTATTTATTTAAATTTGACCAGAGAGGGACAGAGAAAGAGAGAGAGAGAGAGAGAGAGAGAGAGAGAGAAAGCAAGCTGCCAGGTCTGAGACTTGAACCATGGGTGGCCATGTGGGAGTCCAATGCCCTTTACCACCATGCCACTTGCCAACCCTATCCTATATATTTCACAATAGTTCTCATGATCATGATTCTGCTATTTAATAAATATTTGAATAAATCAAAACATGTATATATTGAAAGGTTTTAAAGGTATTGGGTCTACAAATGTAAAATAGGCTTGTATAATAATTGCTAATATGTATTGAGCACTTCCTATATTCTAGATAATTGCATTAAATAATTTAAATATCTGACCTAATTCTCACTGTAGTACTATGATGTAAATATAATTATTCCCATTTTGTACATCAGGGCTCAGGAAAGTTAAGTGATTTGCCGAAGGTCATATCACCAATGACTAGTGGAGCTGGAATTTAAATCCAGATCTGATGAGAATCAATGCTCCTGACCATTTTCAGTACTTATTTTCCACATAATCATTGCTTACTGAAGTCAGACTATTACTGATGGGTGCTGTTTCTAAAAATTTCAGGTCCCATTTAACTTAATTAGGAACTAGATAGAATACAGTAAAATGACCAAGATAAAGGAATGTCCCAAGTGCCATTCTAAAATACAAATACTAGGACTGGGTTTGGGGCATCTCCAACATCAGGTATTCGTGATGAAAACTTTGGAGGACTAGGATTATAATTTCTCCCTTTGTCTTTTGGTCCCTTTTTCTCCATTACCAAAATACTGAATGCCAAATTGATTAAAATATTTTCTTCCAAAAGATTTAGAGCAGACAGTATAATAAAAGATCATTATTCCTGATTGAATTTGAAAGCTATCCAGGCAGTGGTTCATGAAAGACCTTGGGATGTGGGTAAAGCACCTATTTAATGTGATTGTCACCATTTATTACAAGGTTCCCGCTAGCTGTTGGGATTTTTGGAAAAGTTATATCTTTCCTATAATTTTCTGTGTAAAAATGCGTCATGACTTTTCTGACAACCCAACAGAAATGTATTTTCTATTCTGTGAATTGGCCACCAGTTCACTGCAGTTAGCATTTATAGAACACTTCTTCAGGAAATCAGAAGCTCTGCAGATTATACATTATACATTGAAATTTAGAGGGAAAGTAATTTCGCATCAGCAAATAACATATAATTGGCACACAGGCTTGAAATGGAGACTTGCCTGTTAGTTCAGAAAGTACTTGTTGAGTAAAATACAAATACCAGGATTGGTTTTTTGGGGGCACACTCCATATCCTGTGTTCAAGACGAAATTTCAGGGGACGACGATTATAACTTTTTTGTCTTTTGATTTTGGTTCCCTTTTCTCCAGCACCAAAATATTGAATGCCAAGCATTTCTATGTACTTGTTTACTGATGTAATAATAAGCACAGATGTCAGTGTTTGGCAAATGAGGCTGTAGATTACCTAGGGTCTCGTAGGAAAATCTAAAAAAGTTTAATATTCTGCCTACCAGGAATGGGTTTCCTCAGTTGAGAAGACACCACTGAGAAGGAATAAGCAGTTGTAGATACTTAGATTGAACAAGTATCTTGTGCTATCATAGTTTACGGGAAAGAGCTTTGAAGTAGATGAGGTATTCATTCATCTCTTGGTTCATTCAGAAAACACAGTAAGTAAAATGTTAACAAATGTTAACAAAAGTTAAAATGAACACAGGGCTAGCAGGTGGCATGGTGGCTAAGGCACTGGTTCCTACATAGCCAACTGTGGTTCAAGTCTCGGCAGCTTGAAAATCATACTGGACATCTGTGCATGCATGCCCCAAATCCTGAGAGAATGGATTGTGGCATGGCCATACCCTCTGGGGAGAGTTTTCACTCTCCCTCTCCGTTTCTCCAGTGAGTACACATGCCCTGTTGGAAAAATCTAAAAGAAAAAATTTAGAAAGCATAAATAAATTAAGCCTAGGTACCAGTCTCCATAAAATTGTTTTTCTTGACACCAAATTGATAAGTTTAACCTTCTGGCTGCAATTCCCACATCTTCTCTAAATGAGAATTAAAATGTTTAGAAATTTTTGAGAGGATGAAAATTTCACCTAATGTAACTACAAAGATAAATCGTCCAGTAAGCTATTTGCCCAGTAAAGGGTAGTAATTTGCTGCGATTATCACATAGATTATGAAAAATTTATAAAAAGGGCTTATTTCAGCGTTTTAACTTTAGATACACATACTTGTTTTAAAAAACAAAAAATCAGAACTCTGGTGTGTTCTTTATCTCTGGTGTGTTGTTTTTTGAATGAGTTGTACATGCTCTAAGTCTGGTAGTGGTTTATTTGTAATTTCTGGTCTGTTATTGTGTGAGTCTGTGCCCAGCATGCTGAATATGACTTCTGAACTGACTTGGTGCCTTTTCCCAAGGTGATGACCTCACAATTTATGGGATCGTAATGCAACGGTGGAAGCCCTTACAGCAAGATGTACGCTGTGAAGTGGAGATAGTCCTAAAAGCCAATTATGTCCAAGTAAATAATGAACACTCGGCAGGGATCATCCTGGATGAGGAGGCCCGAAAGGAATTTGAGGATTTTTGGGAATACTATAAGAGTGATCCTTTTGCAGGTTTGTGATTAAAGGCAGAAGAAAGCTGATAATACTAATGACTCATTCAGTAGTTAGTGTCTGTGAAGTTACACAGTTCAATGACTGGGTTCAAAGGTAGCATTAGTCAGTACCTCTAGCTGTAGTCTACTTTAAACCCTTTTGGGGACAAGCAGATGGCGTAATGGCTACATCGCTGGACTCCCACGTAGTCGAACGCGGTTCGAGTCCCAGACTCAGTGGCTTAAGCTCACGCTAGGTGTATGTGCGTGCGCCCAATATGAGAATGGAGAAGGGATTGAGGCCATCCCCCTGGGGGGTGATTTATCACTTTTTGTTTGTCTTTCTGGTGAGCACATGCGCCCTATGGCAAAAACCTCTTAAAAATAAATAAAACCTTTTTTTGGCATAGTCTCTTCTATTTACAGATCTTCCTGGGAGGGCCCTCCATTTCTAACTCTTATTTTAATGATATTTATACTACCAGAACAGTTTAAAAGAATTTTTATTCCTGACCAATAAAATTGCAATCTCAAGGAGTATGACCACAACACAATCCCTTCTCCATTCTCTTTTTGGGATTTTGGGAATGTATGCATATGTGCCTGTCATGTTTTTCAAGCCACAAGTCTGGGATTTGAACTGCAGAGTTGGCCATGTGGAATCCAGCTACCTTAACCACCATGCCACTGGCTGACCCACAATTTGTTTTTAAAAAAGACAGAACTTCATCTATTATGAAGGGTCATCCTATTAAAGTCATTATTTTTTCCTGATATATTTTTAGTAATAAAAGACAACTTCACTATTTTAGCTGAAGTTAAAAATAGAAAATAAGAGAGATAAGGAGAGAGAAGATAGAACAAGCTTTGTCATCTCAGCCAAATTTCCACTGTGACACTAAGATGTGATTAGATAGAATAAAACATCCCAGACTTTGGCTTTGTAGAATTTTTTTTTTATTGACAAATCCCAAATGTACAAAACACAAACTAAATCTTTAAATGCCTGTTTTAATTCTTCTTGGAGTCATCTTCTGAGAAAAATTAAACTAAAGCCAGTAATATACTAATAAACGTCACCTCAAATCTAATATATATTGATTATTTTATTCTTAAATCAATGCTGGACTAGACAGATAGTTCTAAAATAAGGCTCCATTTTCCTAAATAGTGGCAGTTTTTGGTTTTTTTTGGTGCGGATTTTTTTTTTTTTTTTTTCTTATGGTGTATAGCTCTTCTATAATAGTTCCTAATCATTTATCTGGTCTGTATAGAAAGAACCCAAAGTTCTCTAAATTGTGGCTTTATAGCACTTTAAAATCATATATTTGCAAGTGAATTTTAACTGAGAATGAACCAGGTCCTTATAAAAATCTGTAAGTGTTGCTTGGACCAGTTACTCCTTATTCATTCAGTGCCAAAGCTCAATTCTACCTTGTAACAGTGAAGGAAGGCTGACCTACAGTACTCTAACCACACCTTCAGAAGTGCTTTGTGCTTGTGATATTAAAAACAGTCTAGCTGATTTAGTTAGAAAATTAGTTACACAACTCTTATTCGATAAAAACCTTGTGAGTAATTTGAGTAGGAAGTCACCAAGAAAATTAGGCACCTTGTTTTTAGTATGAATGGATTTTCTTAGTTTCCTGTGAACCAGGAACAACGTACCATATTACACCATATCAAAGTATATGCTTGTGTACTGAGAGGAATGAAGGTGAAGGTAGGGAGTTGCTTTCAATGGGGCACCTACAATTTGCCAGTCTAATGCTGGACATGAACTCACTGCTTAGCATTTGGAAGCCGACTTGCTTCCTAGGACTTGATACTGTGGTAATGGCTAGAGTGAGCCTAGAGGCTTCATTCTGATCTGCAGTGACCTCAGGGATCCCTTAACGCTGGTGTTTAGGTGCTGGAAAGAAACACAAGTGTACGGGGTGGAGTCTGTTGGGCCACCAAACACTATGGGGTGACTCAATTGCCTTACATCGAAGAGGACTCTTCATTGGGATAACCAGGCCAGTCACAATATTGACATTGCCTAGAACCTGAAATCTGGGAGGGAGATGAGGATGGAGGTAAGATTTACCCTAATGCATTCTCATCCTACAGACACAAGAGCTGCTACTGCCATGAACCAGGGAATCAGGTTTCTAAATTTAAAATTGAGAATAATGGCTCTTCCCCTTTGCTTTTCTCTGGTAACTCAGTCCTGCCTTCATAGTGTATCTTTTATGTTGACGTCAATGTGAGGAACTCTTGAGAAATAAACACAAGTAATATAAGTAATAAAATAGGGAACAAGTTAAGTAGTTCCCACCGTGTACCAGGTACTGTTTGTCCTATGTGCTGTATACTTAATTCCTTTTATCTTTAGCAAGTCTGTGCAGTACCATTACTATTTCCATTGTACAGATAAGGAAATGGAGGCAGAGAGGTAAAGAAACTTATCCAGGGTGAGGCAGCTAATAAATAATAGCACTGGAATTTGAATCCAGCCCATGACACCAGAGTTCTTTACTGTAGAGACGTGCTTCTCTCTGCACATTAGTCACTGAATCCCCATTTACTCCATTGCAGGCTCTAACAATTCTGGTTTCAGTGATTGCAGATCAGTGTACCTATGCTTAACCCTGACTGTTAGAACTATTCCTTTCAATTCTGTCTTTTGTTTTTAGTTTGCCATATGGTTTGTGCACTTTACAGAGAGAGTAACAGAGAAAAAGAAAGGGAGAAATCACTACCCAGGAAGATGGCCACACCACAGTCCCTTCTCCACTCTTCTCTCAGAATTTTGGGCACACCATGCACATACACCCAGCGTGTTTTTCAAGCTGCCAGGTCTGGGACTCAAACCATGCACTCGGCCATCTGGAATCTAGCCACCTTACCCTTCATGCCATCTCCTAGGTCCCTTGTTTCTATACCTACTTCCTGTCAGAACTTTGTATATGCTTAAATCCACAACCTTTTCCCTGTGCTCTTTCTACCTAAGGAAAGAAAGGGATTCCTTCTAAGTTAATGAACTTCTTGGATAAACTAAATCTTCTATTTCCCTTTTTACTACAAGATTTTCTTTCTTTATTATGTCTACCAAGTCACGGCACTGTAGCTTAGTTGCCTTGAGTCCTTTTTTGATTCATTATGAAAAGTATCCTTTGTGTATAGACTATAAATTGTGGAAAGGCTCAGGAAGGGCTTTTTAGAATCTTAGAGGTTGATGAAGTCAGTGGATGAATGAAACATCTATTTTATTCATATGTGATAGGTAGATTCTCAGTTTTGTTGATTTGATATCTCTAAAAACAGAACCTAAAACTGACATATTTTCCTCTCAGAGGTTACATGTATATGGGGGGGTACAAAGAGAACAATTCCCCCACTGGAGCCTGATCATACCACAATCTTTTTTTCCTCCATTTGTCTATCCTGTCAGGATCCTGGACATATCCAAATGTGCCCATCAGGTTTTTTAAGCCATTAGGCTAGGATCTGAACCACTGCTGTCCCTGGGGGATCTGACTCCTGTACAGTGCTTAACTGCTATGCTATAGGGTCAATAGTGATTGTATTTAAATCACTTGATTAGAAGAATCCAAGACTTCCAGCTTGATTTGCTAGAGTTGTAGTTACAGTGATCTTAATGTCCCAATACTCCAATAACTTATTCCAGATAAAACAGAATTTACCATTCTGCCCATAACAAATGCTGACTCAATTTGCAAGATGGATTATTTTACTTCTCTTCCTTCTCTTGTAGAGAAGCTCCATGCATTGCAACTACCTCAGTATTTAAAGGCTACTGGCTTCTATAGTCTGACTTACTGTTTCTGAGATTGTACATCTTCCGTTTATTTTATTTTATATTTTTTTGTGGGGGAAAGGTTTTTGCTATAGGGCACATGCACTCGCCAGAAAGACAGAGACACAGAAAGTGAGAAATCACACCCGCCCTCTCCAGGGGTATGGCCACACCGCAATCCCTTCTCCTCCATTCTCCTCTTGGGATCTTGGGCATGCACGCACACGCACCCAGCATAACTTTAAGCCACCAGGTCCGGAACTCGAACTGCAGTTGACTACATGGGAGTCCAGTGACATAGCCATTACGCCAACTGCTGGTCCCACCTTCCATTTATTTAAGCAGTGAAGTAATTCTGAAATTTCGACATGGTACAGCTAGTATTATTTTAAGGGATAATGTTGGCTTGATATATAACAGATGAGGGAGAAAAAATACTTTTATTATATCCCTTTTAACAGTAAATTTATAGAAACTTAATGCAGGTAGCACTCAGGAATAAAAAGCAGACTTTTCATTTCACGGCATTAGTAAAAAAAAAGGACTTTTAGAACCCAAAGTTAACCACTGTGCCTAGGCATTTCAAATAGGCTAAGTCATTTTAGATGGTAGAAGGAAGGTATGTTTAAGGAGAATGGTTATTATAGGAAGGGACATTCCAGCCAGGGTTTCTTGAAAATTACTGGTAATTTCTGATCTTTCTGCTTTTCCCAGGAAGGAATGAAATACTGGCCAGCTTGTGCCCTCAAGTGTTTGGAATGTATCTAGTAAAGCTTGCTGTGGCCATGGTGCTGGCTGGTGGGATTCAAAGGACTGATGCTACAGGAACACGGGTCAGAGGTTAGTGCCCATTTAAAATTTTTGAGAAATACTAACACATACATTGAGAGAAGCTAGATTTTTTCTTTCCTGAGTAAAAACTGCTTATTTTATTTTCCAAGTATCTTTTAAGTTGAAAACTGTCTGAATACCTCCTACTTATACTACATCCAACATCTGTACATCAGAAGCTACTTTCTAAAATTCCAGAAAGACTTAAAGAATCCTAAGTTTTTCAATGGGTAGATACTTTTATTCCAGGCTATAAGGGTGGTATACTTTAAAACAAACAAACAAAAACTTTGCTTTATTTTTATGTATGTTTTTCATTGGATCCCCAGTCTCCAAGAGGAAAAGATTAGCAGTAGTGCATGTTAATGTCTCCAAGTCAGAGTCTCTCCATCTGTGACTGTCAGTGTTTCTCAGACTGCTGCTCTCAGTCATCTGCCTGCTGACTGCCCTTCTGTTGCTAGATAGCAAATGTGCCATCTGCCATGAGGTACTGCTGTAGGTCACACATGCAAGCAAAGATTACCCTAAGTGTATAATTACGTCTGGATGGCAGAAACCTCTGCTGTAGCTAGCAGACTTAAGTGACCTAAATTTGGTATAAAGCAGGTTTATTATGGCCCTCATATGGGCCAAAAGACTAAATCAGAAAACTAAAAGCACATTACCATAAATCAGGCTATTAGTAGGGATCTCAAATCATATATTACAGTATAGAAAAGAAAGCATAAGGCTTATATATATAGTACAGGTTTAACATCCCTAATGCAAAGCATCTGAAATGGTCCAAAATCCAAAATATTTTGTGAGCAGACATGGCACCCCAAGTGAAAAAACTCCACACCTGACCCATAGTTAAAAAGCTGTAATATAAAAATATCGTATAAAATTACCTTCAGGCTGTAAAATGTATATGAAGCACAAATGAATTTCCTTTTTAGTTGTGAGCCTCACCCCTAAGATACCTCACTACATATATTCCAAAATGTGAAAAATGTGAAATTTCTGATTTCAAGCATTTGGGATAAAGGGGACTAACTTGTATGTGTTTTGGTCATCTATTTCCAAGGCACTCTGCTAAGTTCTGAGTTTAAATGGTTTCTTATTAATATAGTGGGTCATAGGGAAAGTCATGATGCATTTTTGTATAGAAAAAGATCATGACCTTCCCAACCTAATACTTAGAAAATATTTGAATATTACTGAAGAAATGTGGTCAGTGAAATTACATAGAATATTTGTATGTGCATTTGTTACATTTGAAAAATAAAAATGTTAGATATTTTACTAAGTCACTAAAACTCATAAAATGAAGTTGTTTTTCTTTCATTTAACTAGAATCATAAATGATTTGATATTTCTAAAGCACTTATAAAGTCCCTCAAAATTATAAGTGCTTAAATAAAAAACAAAGTACATGTTCTTGTTTAACTTGTATAGAAAGATTAAAACATTTTGGTATTTTAAAATAGATTAAATCCAGCATTAAAAATTTTTTTTTTTTTAGGTTTTCGCCATAGTACATGTGCACTTGCTGGAGAGAGACAGAGAGAGGGAAAGTTAAGAAAAGACTACCCTAGTGGGGATGGCCACATCAGAGTCCCTTCTCTTCCATTCTTTTTGTGAGAATTTGGGCATGCATGCACACATGCTCAGCCTAAGTTTCAAGCCACCATGTGTGGGACTTGAAATGTAGATGGTCACATGGGAGTTCAGTGCTTTAACTACCATGCCACTTGCTAGCCTCTAAGTCAGCATTTTGTTTTCTGTTTTGTTTTTTAAAGAGATTTTTACTGTAGGGCATGTGTGCTCACCAGAGAGAGAGAGAGAGAGAAGAAATCACCCCCGGGGGGAAGGCCATGTAGTAATCCCTTTTCCTTCTCTTGGGATTTGGTGCATGCACCTGGGGTGAGTTAAGCTGCCAGGCCTGGGATTCAAACTGCAGTTGACTACAAAGGAGTCCAGCTATGTAACTGCTATACTATCTGCTGGACCCAAAGCCAGCATTTTAAGAAATGTCAAACAAAGGCCTAAACATCTGGAAATAGTGTATAATCTATTAATGGAACTTAAATTTAAATATCACATCCACTAATCAATTAAAGACTGTAATATTGGGTTATTGGGAAAATCATGACAAATTTTTGCAAAGAAAAAGACATCGTGACTTTCCCCAGTGACCTAATACATGGTAACTTTTCTAAAGATTTTAAAAATTAAATCCTTAACTATACCTTATGAAAAAATATTCAGCAGAAACACTATAAAATAAATGTGCTGACATTCCAAGTAGATCATTTTCTTGTTGGATTATACTTATTTATGGGTCCTTTTGTAAAATTTTAAAGCTTTATGTATTTACTTTTTTCTAGGTGAATCTCATCTTTTATTGGTTGGGGATCCTGGCACAGGGAAATCTCAATTCCTCAAATATGCAGCAAAGATTACACCAAGATCTGTGCTGACCACAGGAATTGGATCTACTAGTGCAGGTATTTACCATGATAATTTCAAATGACTTAACATTACTATAAAAGCGAAAATAATATTTTTTTATATATATATATATATATATAAAGTACCTATAGTAGGATAAATTTCAAGCCAATTTTTGAGAGGCACTACTGAGAAATTGAAGAAAGTATGCAGTGTGACCTTACTAGTGCTAACAAAGCATTTTAAAAGCTCTACTGTCACTTATCTTTGCATCTTAGTTCTGAACAGCCCTATTCCATTCTCTCATTCTCTGGTGATTACCCTCATACATATTTATGCAGGAAAAAGTACACATCATCTGGCATTTCACAAAGACCCAGAAAACAGAATGTTAAAATAAACTAAATAGGGAGAAATTTCACTTGACATAAGTAGCTAGATGGTGTAGCGCTTAAGGCATTTTCCTGCTCAGAGATCACACGGACAACAGTAGCTCCTACTGAAATTTCTCAAGTGTAAAATTTGCCTATTAATATTTGGAAAGCACACTTTTATCACTGCAATGTGGAGTATCATTCATATGTTATAATGATTCTTCAGCAAGTACATTTAAAACTCTTTGAAGTTAGAATGTCAAGATTTGATTGCAAAGAAACTTAGGATAAGAACTGCTTTAAAAAATGTCTTTTGATGCCATTTTGTATTTTTACAGTTTTGATTAGGGCATATCTTTCCTGTTCTTCTAAAAAATAGATCCTTGGTCATATTTTACAAATATTATTTTGCTATTTGTTAAGGAAGCCTAGTTTCTACACCCAGTGTTGATTATCAGGAAAAAACTTCTACCTTACACTGAGAAGTACTCCACTAATGGTACTGGGAGACTGTGGCTAAGGGGTTCTTGTTACCTTTTGAAATATAAGTGAACAGTGCATGAGACACTGACAGGAAGGGATTTGTGGAACTGAGAGGAGCGGACAAGTTCAGGACATTGGAAAGTAGGCAAGAATATATAAAGAGGCCACCATAGTAGTGCATTGTGGTAGGTAACAAACACACTGTGATGCGACCTCCTTAGGAAGGTCCTTGATTTACTTCTGGCAGGCTCCCTATACACACTTGGCTAGCACATGCCCACAATCCATGCTGGCTAAGGCTAGGAGTGTATTGCAGCAGGAAGACCCTGTTGAAGGTGCCCCCACCCCCACCCACCCCCCCACTTCCCTCATGGAAGAAATTTTAAAAAGGGCAGGGGAGGGCAGGGCAGTCCTAGAGCACAGTAGTTAAGGGCTGTGCATGGAAAGCCAGATCTTCCATGGCCAGCTGTGGGATGAATCCCAGCCCCAGCAGCTTGAAAAGCACAATAGATACATGCATGTGCATGCTGTCCCAAATCCCAACAGGATAGAGAAATGGACAAAAAGGGATTGGAGCATGGGCACACCCATTGGGGAATTGGGGTGGGCCCCTCTCTCTCTCTCATGAATGTACCTACCCTCTAGCAATTAAAAAAAAAAAAAAAATATATATTTTTATATATAAAACATACTTTCTGTGCATTTTAAAACCCTTACAACCCAATATTTTAGAGTCCTGTATAAAATGGATAGCAACAACAAAGATGATTCCCAAGTAATTACATGGAATGTTTCCTGAATAATTAGTGTGTCAAGAAATGAGTCTAAACTATCTTGAGGGCAACTAGGAATTTCAGACTACTTAGACAGGTTAAGGGGAACAGCTGATCAACTAGATTAGTACATTGGTATAAAAGGATATTACACTTTACCCTTTTCATGCCAAGATTAGAATCCATATACAAGAGAAAAGACAAGTAGAGGAAATATAACTTTAAAATTACATAAAAATTATTTCTATTCATTACCTACCCAAAAGGCCAGACTAGCCTTTCTGCAAAACTGTGTACTGTACCCATAATAGTCATAGAAGTTAATTCAGTGGTCAAAACCAGCACTTTGAAATATAAATACATACTTGTGTTAAAGGGTCATGCTTTATTTATTTTATTATGGCTTATGATAAAATGTTTTGAAAACTGCCATAGATTTTCTTGGAAAATTCCAAATCCTAAATCCAGAGGGTAAAATCATATGGATGCCTAAGGTTACATTAGGTTATGACTGAGCAAATGCATGTGCACTTCTCTGACTCGGAAGTTTTCTGAGTTCAAGTAATGTACTCATTCCTTCCAACTTATTCACAGATCTCTTCGGAAGCAATATTTAACTTTTCAGGACATAGCTATCTACCATGATAAAACGTGGGAAAAACAGTTCTACATCTTCTAGCCATAATTCTGATGTAGTATCTTTAAATAATGCTAAACAGAAAAAATAAAAACCAAAAAACTTAAGTGCTACAGTATCTTAGTTATTAATGTTTGAATTCTAACTCTATTTGCAGTCATTTTTATTTTTAAAAAACTGTCTTAGAGAGCTTTAAGTTTAAGATAAAAAAGTAATATTATTATTTAAGTTCTAAACATCTGTGAAAATTGACTATCATTACAGATTTACATAAAAACCTAACCCTTGATGGCACAATAAACTGATCATCATAATTAGAATAAATACTCATCAGTAAATTGCTCTATTTGGTGATTTGGTTTATATATTATTTCTAATAAGTATATATCTTGTCCTTGTTATATCAATCACTGAGTTCTTTGCTGGAAAGTATTTTATTATCACTTTAATATTGCAACATTTTAATTGATATTAGACAAAAATGAGACTTTCTTCATATAATTTTAACAGCTGGAAGTACTTTACTTTTAAAATCTACAAACTAGTTAATGGACAATATTTTAATTTAGTGTATTAAATTTCAAAGTTTAACATTTAGCAAAACTTTCCTTCACAAATTCAGTTTTTTAGAATGATAGGACATACATACAACTTAAAATCCATATTTAAACAAGTGCTTTTTCCTTTCCTCAAAATAAAGGCTTTAAAAAGTGCAGTATAAAAGTTTTAGATATGAAGGCACTGCATTACCTGTATCAAACAGCCATCTTGCTTACCAGCAAGAGTAATGAAAATATTCTACCTTTAATTTAACGCAGCAAAAGAAACTTTTTGAGGAAGGACCTAGCTCTTGTCAACAAAAAAGAAATTTTTGGCTCATTTAGTTATGAACTCCTTTCTAAGATTGCTTTTCAAAAACTTGTTATCTGGAAGAGCTGTCTAGAGTATGTCAACCAAGAATATGCCAGACCTTATTATTCATGAGTGTGAGGGGATATGGGGAAGAGTACTACAGGTGTGAAAAATATATGTTATTTCCAAAAAATAGTAAATATAATGACAAAACTAAATATACCTTCCTAAATCCAATTTTATATATAAATTTGGCCAAGAACAGATACCAAAAGAATTTTTCAAGTTCAGAGGATTTTTATAAATCTGATGAACAGATTTGAGCCATTACAGTTCTACCTTGATTATGGCTCATGCTATGTTTTGATATCTTGGCCTTTTATGGAGGAGGGGGGTTTATTCTGCTACAGGAAATGTGCAGTCACTAATACTGCAAGTGTTTAGTTTTTGACGCAGAACTCAGGTGGCTTACTTATTTCGATTCCAATTTCCTGGAATCTCCTATTCTTAAAACTTCGGAAGTTTGTATTTGCTCTTGAGAGTTGTAATTCACAGGGCAATAATGGTGTATGATTCAAGAAGTGCTCTAATGTCCTGAACTTTATTATAAAAACTAAAACCATAGCCAGAGGACCCTATAAACAATTAGCTACGTTTGTTAGTATCTTAGAAATTAAAATATTATCTAACACTACACAAAGTGTAATAGTTTGTAGTTTTAAGGGGCTTCAGGGTGGAAAAAGCAGATCCTAAAGTTCCTCTGAACATTTTAATTTCAAAACTCCTTTTCAAGAACATGCCAAAAGAGAAGGAAAATGTGTCCCTTAAATTAAAGCTACCATGTATCTTCACAGGAAGAAACATTTTAGTTGACATAAGCTTTTTTTTAAAAAAAAAAAAAAAAGTCTAGTAAAGCAGTGATCCAAAGATTATTGTCCAAGAGGCTAAGACATGTTTACAACCTGGACTAATGATTCATACTTTTTTTTATAAGTGCTTTAATTACATATAAAGGAGAAGAAAATAATATATATGCTTTAATCAAATTAGTTTCAAGAACAAATAAAATAACACATTAGAGAAAAAATTACTTAAAAATAGTTGTATTTATATTCCACAATTTGCTCAAATACTGGTTTTTCTTATAAACTTTCTACAGGATGTTTTTAAACAAATTCTTCACATTGTGTCTTGACTATGTACTTACGGAATTTCAGGGAAATAGTTCTGTGTTTTTAATAGCTTAGTTTGTACTAAAGGGATGGCAGGTGGTCACATGCAGTCCATGTGGGATTCTAACATGACATTTAGTGAGTTTTCTGACGTGGACCAGCCCTTTGATGCTGAAGGTAATGCATCTGTCGAAAGAAGTGA